TGCCACGGAGACCACTCCATTATCATCTTTAGTATTTTGAATTATTTAAGAGTCATTTCTCCTCCTCTTCCGTCTTGTTGTTGTTGTTGTTGTTGTTGTTATTCTTCTTCTTTTTCTTCACAGAGTTCCTCATGTTCATATGTGAAAGCTGTTTCTCACTGGCATATTGGAGAATAGTTTTGGATATTCTGAGAATTGTGGCTGGAGTGCCTTTCTGACACTGACCCTCTCCATTGATAAGGATTAGTAGTTGGCACTGAGTGGAGTGGACTTTCTTCTCCAGTTCCAGGATTAGAGCTATTTAAGAAAATATATAAATTTTATTTTCAATGATAAACTCTCGACCAAAATGTACAGGTCTTTAGCTGTAAATATCACATGATCGTTTTATTTCAGTTGGTTTGGAATTGTAGTTGAAAAACACTCAGATAACTATCACTGGTCAATAAGGTTTTATTATTATTATTATTATTATTATTATTATTATTATTATTAGTAGTAGTAGTAGTAGTAGTAGTAGCAGTACTAGTAGTTGTAGTAGCGGTAGTAGCAGTACTAGTAGTTGTAGTAGTAGTAGTAGTATTAGCAGTAATGATAGTTGTTGTAGTAGTATAATTATTGCTTCTACGGCTACTGCTACTACTACTACTACTACTATTCTTTTTATTATTATTGTTATTATTATTATTATTATTATTATTATTATTATTATTATTATTATTATTATTATTATTATTATTATTATTATTACTACTACTACTACTACTACTACTACTGTTACCAAGCCACTGTATCTTCAATCTAAACCTTTAGACTGAAAATGCATTATTGACAGCCATAGGAACTCTTAGCTAGATATATTCATATCCATACCGATTTGAGACTGTCTAATGGTCGTTCTTGATGCAGTTAGGGGTCATATTGAGACCTTCTAGCCCTCTTAATCCTCCTTGTTCGGATAAACTTGCATTGCATACTGTAGTTCTGGCCAAGAGGAAGAGAAATGAAGAGTCATGGTTTTGTTTTGACTCAGCCACCCCTTATAAGAGGAATTATGGCCCTTGTATATCGAGAGAAAGATGTATTAATAATCCGCCGAAGTCATCATGATGATACTGAAGTCAATGTTGATGTTCATGATCATCATCTTACTCTCTTTATTCTTTATCAACAGCTTTTCGTGTGTTATGATTGACTGATGGCATAAGAGCACTCTTTGATTATTAATCAAAAGTAATATATATTATACATGTAATAATTTTCATTAGCCATTGTTGAATGCTAACATTTAAGTCAAATCTCCACTTTACCACAGAGACACTACAGACAATTTGAAGCAGATATAGTATAACAATTTCCAAATTAGAGTAATGAATAGCTACATATACATATACATATACATGCATCCACATGTATCTATATATATGCATGAATATACTCATATATAAATAACTAATTAGATGAGTAATAAAAATGCCACTGGACCTTCTTAATCATCCATATATAGGAAAGAGAGAGAGTGAGAATCTGTGGTATTCATTTCAGCAAAATGGTTATTAGTCCTTTCCACCGCTATATATGCATGCATACATACATACACACATGCAAACACGTATGTACTCATATACATGCACATATACACACACATATACAGGTGCGAGCTCACATATACGTGAAGAAAAAAACATACATATGAATACACATATATATACACACACAAACACATACATAAAATGACGGACCCATCACCATCCGAGGGTGACACAACAAAGAAAAGACAGGCTGAAAAAACAGTCCGAGCATCGAGAGCCCAGAGACAGGGCAGTACCAGGCCCCGAGACAACGAAAGATCTGCCACTTCACACATGCAGACATGCATATGCATGTGTGCGCACCCAAACATGTGCATGTATGTATACACATTGTACACACATGCACATACTCATATATCTCCCACACGCGCACATGCACTGCCACTTTCATTCGTGTGCACGCATACACACACACAGATGGACATGTGTATATATATATACACATACACACATTTTTAAAAACAGGTGAGAGAAAAATTTAAAAAAAGGGAGGAAAAACCTATGCATGTAAACAATTGCATATATATGGACATATGCATCTACACATACATGCATACACATATAAACACAACACCATCTTATGGAATAAAACAAAAAAACAAAACAAAACAAAAACATTTATTTCCATTTTGTACAATGGTTATTCAACATTAATAGTAACTTATAAGTAGACATGTAATTAAACTAACAAATAAGAGGGTTAGACATATAGTTAAATTAAATGTAGCTTTCATAGAAAATAATAATGCTGTAATAAAAATGTTACAATAATGTTAATAATAAAGTAGTAATTATGCCACTAGATACAGGATCGTTATTATCGGCATCATTTCCATATTTGTTTCCTTACAATGAGAATAATTAGTTCTTAATGAGCAGCAACTATTTGTCCAAAAGAAAACTATATA